GTTTGTTGTTTTTATTTCTTTTTATATATAGATCATTTTCATTTCTTTTAATTTATTTTATTTTTTAAAATTGGAAACTTTACTGTTTTCTTATTTATGTTTGTTGTTTTTATTTCTTTTTATATATAGACTATTTTCATTTTTTTTTATATATTTACCGTTTTTATTTATTTATGCAAATATAAATATTTTTTTAATATTAGAGATTTGATTGTATATTTTTTGACGGTACATATGCTAATCAAATATTAGCATTATGCTGGAGTTGTTCTATCAGTTTAGGATTTTTTTGTTTCCAAATTAGATTATTTCTAGTTGTTTTTGTTTTGTCTATTTTGTTGACCGACTTGGTCACTCTTGGACCTTGTTTGGACACATTTTTATTTGATGAATAAATGGACATGGTCCAATGTTGATTAAAAAAAATATATATATATATATTAGCATTATATATTATTCAATATATTCCACATTTTATTAGCATGTATTATTATTTTGTAAATAATATATATTGATAATTTACTACAAGTTTAATATAATAGTTAATAATTCATGTATTGTAATCTCTACATAACTAAATAATACCTACATAACTAATATCCACATAGCTAATACCCGCATAATTAAACCCTGCATAACTAAACCCTGCATAACTAAACCCTGCATAATTAATACCTGCATAACTAAACCCTGCATAACTAATACCTACATAACTAAACTCTGTATAACTAATACCTGCATAACTCTAACCAGTAACCAAACGGCCCCTAAAGGTTAGATTGGGGGTGTGCTATTACATAAGTTGAGCCCAACTCATTTTGGTTTATAAACTTTACGACAAAGCAATAATAATATAATGGGCCTAAAACATCTACTCAAAACCTCTAACTTTATGATGAAATTACACTTGTAAATCTTCTAGCTATTGTTACTTTCAAACTAGTAGATATGCCCAAATTGTAAATAATACTATAGTAATAATATTGTTTTGAAGTGTTTTGACTTTATCACTATATATTCGATACAGTATAGTGTATGGAAGTTACATATGACAAATGTATATATCAAGACTAAATCAAACTAGTAGTTATTAGCCTTTTTTTCCTTTTACATATATAGTCGATAGGAAAATTGAAAATGTACGAATAACTAAAGAACAATAGTCAAGATGGTATTGAGATTCAAACTCGCGATACTATGATTTGAATTATACACTCATGATTATAGTCATTGTGTCAAAGTCAATCGGAGTGATCTTTTAAGTTATACTAACTTAAGATTAGAAAATGGAATTTGGAAGGATAATACTTAATTTTGTGCAAGTGTTATCATTTGTGGTCTAAAGAAAAATAAAATATAAGGGTTGAAATTGAGAAAGGCATGGGTAGATCCATGAATGTTTTATGGGAACATGATCATAACATGTGTATAAACCAGTCAGCACATGGAATGTTGTCTCTACTCTTCAAACATATAAAAAATTGACACGAGTGAACACCTCATCCATACATTCATTCTGATAACATCACGACAAACATTTCCTGCATCTATAAACTTTTTTCTAATGTTCCTCACCATCTTTCTCAAAATAAATATTTGTTTTATCTCATAAACGTCGAGGGCATTTTAAAGCTAAAATATAAATGTTAACACGTTGTTTGGTTGTTACGCATTATTTTATAATGTGTTGTACTATATCGTATGATATTATTTTAATAAATATAATGTTTGGATAGATTGTATCGTTTTTCGTTGGTTACATAATGTCACATATTTGAATGATAAATCTATAAGAATTGTAGGGTACAAAGTAGAGTTTTTTTTTTAGAACTCCAGGATAACCCGCAACCACTACAACCTCTGTCCTTCGGGTGAGCACTTTAT